AGAAGGTCACTTTACCTCTGTGGCATTCTTCCCCCAAATCTATAACCTTAGTCTAATTATAAGAAACAGCAGGGGCAGGCAGAGTAGCTCACACCCGCAAGCCTAGCACTTTGGGAGGCCAAAACAGGAGAACTGCGTGGTGTCAGGAGTTTTGAGACCAACCTGGGCAACACAGCAAGACCCCAACTCTACAATAATTTGTTTTAAAATTATCCAGGTATAGTGATACGGGCCTGTAGGCCTAGGAAGGTGAGGTGGGGGGATAACTTGAGCCCAGGAATTCAAGGTTGCAGTGAGCTACGATCATACCATTGTACTCCAGCCTGTGTGGCAGAGTGAGAGACCGTTTCTATAAAGCGGGAAAAAAAGAAAAGAAACATATCAAACCCAAATTGACATTTTACAAAATATCTGACCAATATTCTTCAAAATTGTCAAAGTAACAAAAACCCAGGAAAGAATGAGAAATTGTCACAGAACAGAGGACACCAAGGAGACCTGACAAGTAAACACCCAGTATGGGATCTTGGAATAGCAAAAGGACATTAGTGGAAAAACTAGTGAAACTCAAGTACAGTGTGGAGGTTAGTGAACAGCAATGTACCAATGTTGGTTTTGACAAATGCACTGTGGTGATATAAGACATTAATACAAAGGGAAAATGGATAGGGAATATATGAGAACTCTTGTTACTATCTTTTCTATAAATCTAAAATTATTCCAACATAGAAGTCTTACTTTTTAAAAAGTGCTCCCTCTTACTCATCAAAGTGTCCAGGTTTAGACAATAAATTACATGATCACCTGGTTTTAAACTTGGCTTGGCCTCTGTCTTAGACCATTTGTGCTAGTAACAGACTCCCTGAGACTGGATAGTTGACAACCAATAGAAATTTATTGGCTCTCAGCTCTGGAAGCTGGGAAGTTTGAAGTCAAGGTGCCAGGAGGTTCAGTGTCCAGTGAGGCCATTCTCTTTCTCCAAGATGGCAGCTTGCATGTTGCATTCTCTAGAAAGGAGGAAAGCTGGATTCTCATATGGCAGAAGGCAGGAGGGCCAAGAAATGAAAGAGAGCCAAATTTGCTTTTTTTTTTTTTTTTTAAGAACTAGGGTCTTACTCAATTGCCCAGGCTGGAACCTTGAACTCCTGGGCTGAAGGGATCCTCCTGGATATCTAGGACTACAGATGTGTGCCACCCCACCCAGCTAATTTTTAAAACTTTTTTGTAGAGACGGGGTCTCATTATATTGTCCTGGCTGGTGAGAGAGGATACCTGAGAAAGGTGAGGTCTAGGAGAACAGGTCTTCTCAAGGAGACCACAAGGATACACCTGCGGGATCCTCTCCATGGTGACTCAGCTCTTAGGAATTTGTAAACTTAGCTTCCTGGAACTTGGAAATGTCCAAGTTCTGTGAAATCCTGTAGTTCTGTAGGGGCTGGAATAGCACCTCTCGCTTGATTCAAACTGGCCAAAGAGAAGGGTGCCTATGGGGTGGAACTTTTTGACTGTCGATAAAAAGAGAAAGACCAAGCCAGTTGGGGAGCGTGGCCATTTGGAATTCTTCTATGCCGTAAGCTCCCGGCTGGTGAATAAAGCCCTTCCTCTTATAAACGTGGTCTTTGGGTGCTCTTTCTCTCTGTTGGGCCTTGTCTTCCTGCAACACTGGTTTTGAATGCCTAATCACCTCTCAAAGGTTCCACCTCTCAAAACTGTTACTATGGCAATTCACTTTCGACATGAGTTTTGGAAGGGACATTCACCCTACAGTAGCTTCTAACCAAGAAGTCTTAAGAAAATCACCCATACTTCTTTCCCTCTTAAAGATACTAACTGCTCACACATTCATGAAAAAATGTATAAAGTTTATGAAGTTTAGAGACAGCAAGACACACCAAATAAAGTTCTGGAATGAGAAAGGTAGGGACTGGCACCCTGGTTCTCCCATTTGCTTGCCAAGTGGTCTTAGGCACCTTACATTCCTTCTCTGGGCCTCAGTTTCCACATCTGTCAAATGTATTTGTTGATGATGACAGTGATGACATCTTTTATCTATTAAGCCCATGCCTGATGTCCAGCATTGTGTGGGTTCCGTGATGGGCCATCCAGATTCCTCTTCAGGATTGAAGGATTTATTTCTCCCACCCCCAGCTGCTTAGAGAGCTGCCAGCTGTCAATCCTCTCTAGAGACTGCCCTTGGCTGAAGCTGTCCAGCCCCAGGATATGTCTCTTTCTGGAAGGTAGCCTGCAGCCAATGCAGAGGGTATAGAAATTCAGCTCCCCTATCCCAGTGCGGGAAAACATTGATGGCCATCGCCACTGCAGAGCGCCCCTTGTGGTCGACCAAGGCCTTGGGGAGACTGCATCACAGCCCAACATCTCCCACTGCCAAGTCCCGCTTCCTTCCGGTTCCCACAGTGCTGATCCTCAGAGCACTCCCTGTAAACTTTCTTTCTTTTTTCTTTTTTTTAGACAGGAGCCTCAAGCTGTTCCCCTGGGTAGAGTGCTGTGGCATCAAAGCTCACAGTAACCTCCAACTCCTGGGGTCAAGCGAGTCTCCTGCCTTAGCCTCCCAAGTAGCTGGGACCACAGGTGCCCACCATAACACCCAGCTATTTTTTGGTTGCAGCCGTCATTGTTGTTTGGTGGGCCCGGGCTGGATTCGAACCTGCCACCTTAGGTATACCTGGCTGGCGCCTTAGCCACTTGAGCCACAGGCGCTGAGCCATTCCCTGTAAACTTTCTGCTCACTGATCACCTCCGAGTCTGCTTCCTGGGGAACTCACCTTCCAACAGGACTGGACACAACTGGACCTGCTCTACTATAGATGAGATAATTGAGATTACATATGACAAGTGACTTGCAAGGACATACAACTAAGAAATGGTGGTACTATAGATAGGAAAACTGAAGCTCAGACAGGCAACCGATCTGCCCAGGTCACCAAACTCAGAGACGGTAGGATCAGGATTTGGCCCTATGCCCCCTTTCCAACAGGATTGCTATAGCCCTGGGACGGGTAAGTGCCTATCACCACCTTCCTATCACACCTACTGTTGTCTCTGAAGCTCACTCCAAATGTGCAAAATGAGAATAGTAACAACGCCTGCCTCTTCCAGACCTTGTAAAGATTAAGTGAGTTAATAAAGGTAAAGACCTCAGGACAGTGACTGGCAGGCATAGGGAGCCCTCTACAAATGGTAGGTTAAAAACAGATCGTGTAAACAGTGTGAAGCTGCAACTTGCTATGTTGTAAGGGAGGTCCACGCAGGTTAGTGAGAGTTGACTTGGGATGGGGGGTGGGCTCATCAGCTCTCTAAGGGAGTCAGGCTTGACCTGAGCTCTGAAAGAGGAGTAGAGATTAAGCGGGCAGGAAGAGGAAGTAGCATAAGCAAGAGCCCTGTGGCAGAAGGAAAACTAAGAAAGATGATAAAAGGTCAGATAAAAGATGACTAGCACAGAGAAAAACCATCCAGGCTCAGAGGCAAAACAGTAAAAAGAAAAAAAAATGAGGCTGGATAGGAAGGCAGAAACCAAATAACGAAAGGCCACCCACTAAATGTGACTCTGAACAAGACACTTTATCTCTCTGAGCTTCATTTAGCTCATCTGTGAAATAGAACCATATAAGGGTAAGAGGAGTGAATGAGTCAAAATATTTGTAAATCACTTAAAGTTACCATATACCTAGTATAAATGTTTGAAGCCAACATTAGAACTTTATCTGAAGTACCGTGTTTCCCTGAAAATAAGACACTGTCTTATATTGATTTTTTCTCAAGAAGACACACTAAGGCTTTTTTTTTTAGGGGATGTCTTCCTCTCCATGCTGAAATGCATGGCATGGCTATGCAGATAAGCTGCATAGCCATGCCCATCACTAGGTCTTATTATCAGGGTAGGGCTTATATTTAACAAATGCATAGAAATCCTGCTAAGGCTTATTTTTGGGGTAGGTCTTATTTTCGGGGAAACACAGTACAATGAAAAGACTTAGTGGTGTCTGAATGGAGAAAACAGAGTGGGTACTTGGTGGATGGGAGGGAGAACGGATGCATGGTTTGGTGGGCAGGTGACTAGGGGTGGGTGAGTGGATAGGTGAAAGTGTGAATGGACTGCTGAATAGAACTGGGATTGGGTGATGCAGGTGGCTGGCTGGCTAGCTGATGGATGGGTGGGTGGGAGTGAATGTTGTATCAGTGGATGGAACTGTGGTTGAGATGGGGGTGGTTGGATAAGCAAAGGTGATTGAATGAATTGATATGTAGTTGGATGTTTAGATGTATGGCTGGGTGGACAGAAGAAGCAGTTGCGTGAGAGCAGGTGATTGGTAGACAAGGGAATGGATGAGTGATTGAATGGGTGTCTGGATGTTTGAATGGGTGTCTGGAAGTTTGATGGGTGGTTGGATCCATGGTTGGGTGAGTAAAAGAATGGAAAGTTGGATGGGTGGATGGGAGTGAATAAGTGATCTCAAGGAAGAGTAATTGTTCAAGTGGACATCAGAGGGGTTGCCTGGCTGGAGATGGTGGGGTGGATGAAAGGGTGGGATGGATGAAAAGGTTCGGTGGGTGTTCGAGAAGTTAGGTGAATGAAGGAGTTGGATGAATTTGGATGGATGTCTGGGTGGTTGACTGCGTGGCTGGGTGGATGGATAGGTGACTGGACGGCTGGGTGGGTAAGTAGAAAGTGGAGTAGATGGGTGGGTAGAGCGATAACTGGAGAGATGGTTCTTCAGGTGGATAGTAGAAAGGTTGAGTGAATGGAAGGGTTAGTTCAACGGAGGGTTTGGGTGTGGCTGAGTGGATGGATAAGAGGATGGACAAATGGGAAGATGGCTGGGTGAACACCAGCTTCTGGAGCGCATCCAATCAACCCCCTAAAAGTCACGGAAGAACCCCTGATGGTAAAAGAAACAGAAACAGACTTGAAGACAGGGTTTCCTTAGTTGACCACTTACCCGACTGGGGCCCATCCCATTCTCCCCCTCCCCACGTCCTACCTGGAGGCGGCGATCTCGGCCTTCTGACGCGCAATGGCGGCAGCGCGCTGGGCGCCCTCCACGCTGCGCTCCACCTTCTGGCGGACCTTGTTGCTCTTCAGCGGCAGCATACGGCGCTTGGTGCCCTTGACCAACACGTTGTGGCGGTACTTGCCTTCCTCGCGGTGGCCATCGGGCAGCGTGGTGCAGCCGTAGCCGTGGCGCAGGTTGTCCAGCCACTCGCCCTCGTAGCGGAGGCCGCTGGAGCGCTCGCTCACGCCGAAGCCCGAGCGCTTGTCATTCTTCCATTCACCCATGTAGGTCTCCGTGGTGGTGGCGTCGATGTCAGCTTCGAAGGGCGCAGCCTCGTCGGCGCCCTCGGCACCCTCGCCCAGGCTGGCGGTGGAGGCGGCGTCGCTGGCGCCCGAGCTGAGGTCGCTCTTGAGGAAGCTGACGCGGCTGCGCTGGCTACCCAGGGACGTGCGCGACTCCGTGCGCCGCAGCTTGCCCAGCAGCGCGCCCCGCTGGAACAGGCCGCCACCCTTGGGCGTCCGCGTCACCGCGTCGGCGTTGGCCAGCAGGCTGAGCGCGAAGCCACCACGCGGGATGGCGGGCGAGGGCAGTGTCGGGCCATCGGAGGCCGGCGAGGTGGGCGAATCCGGGGCCACCGTGCCGTTGCTGTGCTCGCTGCGCAGGGACGACAGCGACGTGCGCAGTGGTGAGCGCACCACCACTGCCATCCCGTAGGGCACGCTCTGGCGCACCCCGTAGCCGTGGCGCATGCCATTTGTGAACTGGCCTTGGTACGTCCCTGTAGACAAGGAGAGGACCCGTCAATGGGGCAGCACGACGCATCCCCGGACGTGAACAGTGACCTGGGTGTGCAAAGTGAGGTGGTGCTGAGGGGAGCACAGCCATCTGGGAGGGGGCAAAGGGTGCCAGGTTACTGTGCGTATGTGAGTTGGCAAGCCAGGAGGAGTTTGCACGGTGGTGTGACTTTTCCTCTGCTGGAAACACAGCAAGGTCACAAGTGTGCAAGAGAAGGTGAGGTCGTGTGAGCCACAGTGTAGATACTCAAAGTTGTGTCAACTGGCAAGGCATTGTCAGTCTGTGGGGTTTAAGGTGTGGATACACTTAGTTATCCTAACATCCCAAGTGCTGTGAACATTCAAGGTCATGAAAGGATATGCCAGGGAGTTTGCTTAGTGGTGTGAGTGCTGGAGAACATGGGGCTGTGAGTGCGTGTACTTGTACAAGATTGTGTTTACAAGACACTTTTGAGGCCATGCATGTCGTGTCTTTTGTTCATGAGTGTGCAGGTTGGTGTGTACGCAGTGGAGTGAATGCCTGAGGTCCCATGGAGGTGACCTTAGGTTCAGAGTGTGCAGGGCCAATTAGCGTCAAAGAACAAATACGAGGCACTCCAGGCTGAGTGCAGGAGGTTGTGGCCACTGGTGACACTAAGACCGTGTGAAACCAAACATTAAAAAAAGCCAACACACACACACAAAACAAAGATAGGGGTGTGTCCCATCCAGGGAGTTCCTTCTGAATGTACCAAGTTAGATTATGACACTGCACTGACTCTTCTCACTCAGATGAAAAGCTGAAGTGCTTCATGGCCCACAAGGCCCTGCTTGACCTCATCCCCCCCCCCCCCCACCTCCTCTGCCCTTCTCTTCCCATTCTCTCCCCCCCCCCACCCCACTCTGGCCACAAAGGCCATTCCTCCCCCACACTAGCCATGATCCTCCCCCAGGACCTTTGCAAATGCTATTCCCTCTGCCTGGAATCCTCTTACTCCAGATACCTGCATGGCTCACGGCCACCTCTCACCCTGCACCATCTTCAGGCCTTTAAAAGGCCACTTTCTCAGGAAAGCCTTACCTGACCGCACTATTTAAAATTAAAGTCTCTGCCCAGGGTTTTAGATCTCCTTTCTTTGCTTTATTTGTCCTCATAGCATATCTACTGTAATATATATTTTGCTTTTTCTTCTGTTTACTGACTCTCTCCCTTACTGGCACATAAGTTCCATTAAGGCAGGGAGTCCTTACTCTTTTTATTGGTTGTTATGCACCTTCATATCTACAGCAGTACAAAACAGGCACTCAATAAATCTTTGTTGTATGAATGAATGAGCGAGTGAACTGCACACATTCCGTATCAGTTTATTCTTTCTTCTTTGTCCATCGGAAAACTGCTCTGTGAAAATAACTGGAAACATGTTTTATGGCGACTATTTTATAGAGGAGGAAAAAACTAAGGTTTTTCTCAAAACCTTAGCAAGGACAAAGGATTCATCTAAGATGATGGCTAATAAATATGCCAACACCAAAACTCACATCCCTCCGTGTCTAGCTCTGCTCCTTCCACCACTTCTCGAAAGAAAAAAACAGGAAAGGAGAAAGTGAACAAGAATAGAGCAGAGAAGATGGAAAACTTGAGGAAAGAGAGAAGACATCTAATCTCTGGGTTGGACAAGTCTGTGAAATTAAATCAGCCAACCTACCTTTAGCTTAAAATTGGCAAGAAATGGGCTGACGTGGTCCCTTTAAGCTCAGGAAAAAACTGAGATTGCAACAGGAGAGCCGCTCTTGGCCACCAGTTGGGGAGGAAACAGCCAGGCTATATTAGGAAACTTACAAGCAAGTGGCAAGAGGCACAGACACCCAAGGGAGGCTGGGAGTGACAGGGCCCTGGGAAGGGGGAAAAGCCAACTGCTGAGGCCATCCCCAGCCTGACTCTCTCTAAGACAGGACCGTTCTCCCTGGGGACAGGAAGAACGCATTCACAGGAGAGAAGAAGGACCCTGCAGAGGGGCTGTCTGCAGAAGGCAGACAGTGATTCACTTTGGGCCGCCCCTGTCCCTGGGCTTTGGAAACCTTGGAGGGCTTCCCATCATCCTCAAAGCAAGGACCAAGATCCTTGGCAGACCCCAAAGCCTGCCTGGGCTGCCCCTGCCACCTCCCCCACCTCACCTTGAACTGCTCTCTAGTCACACTGGCCTTCCCACCACAGGGACTTTGCACATGCTTTCTGCTTTGCTCTTCTCCCCCTTCCCCTGGCCAACTTGTATTATAGTTCAGGCTGCAGCTTAATTGTGACTTAAACGAGGAAGATTCCTTGAGCCCTGTTCTGAGTACTGCAAGAAGCAGACACATCCTATCGTGTCGACCTTCTTCACGGCGCTTCCCCTAGTGCACTTGTACAATTATTTTGATCCTCTGCTCATCATAAGCCTTCCCTACCTGCTGTTGGCTTCTGAGAAGGAAGGAGTCGTATCTAGTTTATTCTCATTATGATCCTACCACGGAGTACAGTTCCCAGGCCCAAGATGCCTTCAGCAAACAAATGATGAATTCACAACTATCTTTTCCTGACTGTCCTTTGAGGGGCAGAAACCACATCTTTTTTCTTTTCATAACTCAGCATGCAATAGGGCTCAATACATGGATGGCAGTGACTGCTAGGGTTGTTCTAGCCTAGACTGAGCACCTCAAACCCTGAGATTTATTGGGGTCCATGAAAAAGGCCGGTGAAGATTGTAAGAAGGGTAAATACAGTCCTGTCCCTCAGACAAGGGTCCTGAATTCAGTAGAACCTGAATATAGCCTTGTCCCTGCAGTTGCTCTGGTTTGGTGTAGAATAACATGGATTTTAACCCTGACACTGAGTTAGTGCTAAAACATGCATCAATTATTTAAGCCTGCCGAGCCTCAGTGGGCCCTTCTGTAAAATGGAGGTGGTGATGCCTACTTCATCTGGTTATCACTCATTCCTTTGGATTTGACAAGTATTTACTACAGACCGCACATTCATCATGCCAGCGGCTGGGGATACAGTGGTGAACTAAGTAGACACAGTCATTGCCTGCAAGGGGCTTGGAGTTCAATGCCAGGAATAGACTAAATGTAATTAACCAGTCACAAAAAATAAACATATGGCAGCCACAGCAATGGTCCAAATGAGAGGTCATGCGTCAGGTTTTGAGTGGCAGGGAGTGGGGAGGATTGGTTGAGGATTAGATAAACTAGACATGTCAGTGCCTGGCACACAGCAAGTGCTCCATAAAGGCTAGCTCTGTGGCAAGTCAGAGTCTTTGCACAGAGAAACTGGCCCAGAAAGGCTTCACTAGAAAGATGAAAAGGGCCCAGGGAAGACAGAATTCAAAGAGAAAAAGTAAGACCAGCTCCAATTTTCTGCCTAGGTCAAGTTGCTTGTATAAAAGCATGTCTGGGCTCTGAGACATCCAGATCTTCCTGGTCTGGGTGCACCTCTGACTCAGTGAGAAGGCCTCAGAGCTTCAGTTCTTGGCAGGAAGAAAATGGTAGGTTCTGTTCTTCTGCCTGCACGTTCCTAAACACACACTACAGAATAGTTTGGGGAAGCCAAAGCTACAGCACAAGATCCACCTGCTTGGCCAAAGATTATAAATTATTTAATCTGTATGTTCGAGTTTTTTAAGGCATCTTAGATTATTCTAATGTGCTCCCTGGGTTAGGAGCTGTAAAACCTCTCCACTGACCTCCAATCAGCCAGTTTGCTCTGTTCCTCTATAAAACCTTCTAACTGATGTCCTTAGCCCATGGACGCTCCCAGCTGGTAGGGTAGGCCCTCATGCTTCTGTGCCCAAGACTGTTCCCCAACTTGTTTACTTTAGTTGTGTTTGTTATTGAGATGATGTGATTTATTATTTATCATGTAAACCAATGAAATATGAAGATACCAAAAAAAAAAAGAGAAAGAGTGCTGTTATTTATCTGAAACCCAAATGTTTTTGGATGTCTGCGAAAGAGAGTCCCTGAAAACATGTCCTCAAATTCAGTGTGAATTAAATAACTATAAAAAATTGGAAGTGAAATTATAAAAATCTACACATCTTCTGTGTTCAGGTAGCTTTGCCAGAGTCTTGAATGTCCCACTCCACTTTGAAGAAAACAAAATAAACAGGAAAGTATAGATTATATACCAGGGGCATGCATGAAAGATAATAAGAAACTCCATTCGATAAAGACATTATCATCAAAAGATCAATGGATGAAAAATAAAGGTTGAGGCTTGGCGCCTGTAGCTCAATGGCTAGGACGCCAGCCACATACACTGGAGCTGGCAAGTTCAAATCCAGGCCGAGCCTGCCAAACAACAATGAAAATTACAACAAAAAAACAGCTGGCAGTGTGACAAGGGCCTGTAGTCCCAGCTACTTGGGAGGCTGAGGCAAGAGAATCGCTTAAGCCCAAGAGTTTGAGGTTGCTGTGAGCTGTGACACATAGCACTCTACTGAGGGTGACATAGTGAGACTCTGTCTCAAAAAAAAAAAAAAAAGAAATAGAAAGGTTAAATAACTATACATGATACACATATGTGATTTAAATTTAAAAGTATAATATATGTATCTTTTTAAATGTTTCTTTGCTTCTACTGACTCATTCAGTTAACCAATTTACTATTGCTCTTGATGACATCAGGTACCAACAGTAAGGGCTTCCACTGTGATTTTTAACATCAGTCTGAATACATTTGCTTTGACACAGAGGTCTGTCTGTCTCAGAAGGAAGCCACTAGATGGACTAAGGCAAGGAAAATAAGAAAATAACCCTATGCCAATGGCCTTGGCATGTGATCTTATGTGAGACTTTCCCATGGGGTGTGAATTTGAGGTTTGGATGAGTTTGGCCTGGAGGAAACTGTACTTTTTTTTTTTCTTTCACGGAAATGGTGCTTGTGGTCTGAGACCCTGGATACGCTGCCTCTGCCCTGTCTGTAGAAATTTTTCCAACATGTTTGTGCAGGTCATTCAGTTCCAAC